GTGTGTGTGTGTGTGTGTGTGTGTGTGTGAGCTTGTAGCTTTTTCACCATGCAGCCTGCACTGCAATTTTCTCTTTGCACATATTTCTTATTGTTTATTTTATCGTATATCTTTTCTTATTAAAATTTGTATACAAATAAACACTTCTATAATATACTTTCAGAAAAATAAGCGTGACCATAACTGTCCTCGTGGTTTTATGCCCAAAAAATTCTAAATTATGCAAACTGAGCCCAAAAATGTGAAATTATGCGATTCTGTTAATTTGTTAATAAAGAATGATAAAGGAAAATAATCAGAAATTATGCACACACAAAAAAATCACATTTTGCTAAATTATGCGGGGTGTATAAAACCCCGGGGCACAGCCATACGTATACTCTATGCACATACCGTTGCACCCAAATGCGTTATCGCTGTAAAACCCATTACGTATGGGAAGTCGTCCGCTCAATAATGCTGCTCTTGCTGTGGACATCACAGAGATAATGTCAAAATCTTAATAAACTGTGGGCATCACAAAGATCATGCCAAAATCTTAATAAACTGTGGGCATTATAAAACTGATGTCAAAATCTTAATAAACTGTGAATATCACAAAAATAATGTTAAAATCTTATTAAATCGTGGACATCACAAAAATAATGACGGTCAAAATCTTAATAAACTGTAGACATAAAAATAATGTCAAGATCTTAATAAACTGTGGGCATCACAAAGTAGGTGTTCGGCGGGTGCTCTGGTGTGGTTTGCTTCTTCTTTCCTATCAAACATCTATCGTCCTTATCTCTCCTTCTTCTTTCTTATGTTTGTTACTCTCTTGTAACACCTCTAATGTTCTGGCGCTCATATGACCTTACGCAGTTGCGAGCGCCGCAAAACGTCTACTAAAATTAAACTAAAAGACATGACAAAACTAATGTCAAAATCTTAATAAACTGTAGACATCATAAAAATAATGTCAAAATCTTCAGCGACAAAATTAAACTACAGTCCGGTCCACACACAGCGAAACACGGACATAGTATTCAGATTTCCTGGTCCTGAAGATTTTGTTCGACATGAAGATTTTTTGTAAGGGGGGGG